GTTGAACACACGTCCAGGACATGTTTGTTCCGACATGTTAAACACATGTTAAATTCAAGGATCGGACTGTTAGGGTGCCCATTGTCATGGCATCCACAAGGCTCTGGGCCCCTTGAACAAAAAAACAGGACTGAGGACTGAGGCTCATGGGATTGGGCAGAGGACCTGAGGACGCCCACTCCCTGCCCAGCGGAACGGTGGCGGATCATACCTCTTGCGCGGAGGCTCAGCGCCTTGCCCAGCCGCGCAGGCAAGAAGCCGTTGGTCTGGCACGGCCTTCCGATGTGAAGCCTCCGAGCAGGAAGGCGCAGGAAGGTCAGGCGAAGACGCTCGCCATAAAATCGCAAACTCCGACGTCCCCCTCCTCCTCCTCCTCCTCCTCCTCCTCGTCCTCCTCCTGCTTCCTTTCCTCCTCCTCCTCCCTCCTCCTCCTCCTGCTCCTCCTCCTCTGCTCCTCCTCCTCCTCCTCCTCCTCCTCCTCCTCCTCCTCCTCCTCCTCTCCTCCTCCTCCTCCCCTCCCTCCTCCTCCTCCTCTCCTCCTCCTCCTCCTCCTCCTCCTCCTTCCTCCTCCCCCCTCCTCCTCCTCCCCCTCCTCCTCCTCCTCCTCCTCCTCCTCCTCCTCCTCCTCCTCCTCCTCCTCCCTCCTCCTCCCCCTCCTCTTCCTCCTCCTCCCCCTCCTCCCCCTCCCTCCCCTCTCCCCTCCTCCTCCTCCTCTCCTCTCCTCCTTTTTCCTCCTCCTCCTCCTCCTCCTCCTCCTCCTCCTCCTCCTCCTCCCCTCCTCCTCCTCCTCTCCTCCTCTCCTCCTCCTCCTCCTACCCTCCTCCTCCTCCTCCTCCTCCTCCTCCTCCTCCGCCTCCTCCTCGCCCTCCTCCTCCTCGCCCTCCTCCTCCTCCTCATCCTCCTCCTTTTCCCCTCCTCCTCCTCCTCCTCCTCCTCCTCCTCCTCCTCCTCCTCCTCCTCCTCCCCCTCCTGCTTCTGTGACTCCGTCTTTGAATTGGTGCGCATCCTGCGAGACAGGCAAGCGAGCATGGGAGCATCCGCTCTAGTACATGCCACGCCTGCCACGCTGTGCGAGCCTGGGACGGATAGGGGCACCGCCCCCTTGCGCACCCCCTCCTGGTGTCGAGGAAATGCCACGCCTGCCAGGCCCCCTGGGAGGCCGGGAGCCTGAAACGGACAGGTGAACGACCCCCTCCGCGCCCCCTGTGTTGTCGAGGGAATGCCGCGCCTGCCATGGACTGCGAGCATGAAACGGATAGGGCAACCGCCCCTTGCGCAATCCCCTTTTTGGTGTCGAGGACATGCCGCGCCTGCCACGCACTGCGAGCTTGCAGCAAGTACGGGGAATCCCCTCCTGTGCATCCCCTTATGATATCGTGGAAATGTGGCGCCTGCCACGCCTCGGGGGCCTGAACCGCATGGGGGAACCGCCCCCTGCGCACCCCCTCTGGTGTCGAGGACATGCCGCGCCGGCCACGCTTTGCGGGCTTGAAGCGGATCGGGGACCCCCCCCCAGCGCACCACCTCTTGGTGTCGAGGAAATGCCGCTTGCCCCGCATTGCGAGCCTGAAGCGGACATGGATAACCCCCCTTGCGCACGCCCTCGGGCGTCGAGGGAATGAAACGCCTGCCCCGCATTGCGAGCCTGAAGCGACTGGGTGAACCACCCCTTGTGGACCCCCTCTTGGTCGAGGAACTGCCGCGACTGCCACGCATTGCGAGCCTGAAACAGATTAGGGCAACCAACCCCTGCGCACCCATTGTGGTGTCGAGGAAATGCCACGCCTGCCACGCATTGCGAGCCAGCAGCAAGTACGGGGAGTCACCCCCTGTGCACGCCCTTCTGCTGTCGAGGACATATGGGGCGCCTGCCACGCCCCAGGGACCCGAAACGGATAGGGGAGCCGTCTCCTGTGCACGCCCCTCATTGGCGTCGAGGAAATGCCACGCCTGCTACGCTCTGCGAGCCCGAAGCGAACATGGATACCCCTCCCCTCCCTGCGCACCCCCTCGAGTGTCGAGGAAGTGAAACGCCTGCCACGCATTGCGAGCCTCACGCTTGCTACGCTTTGCAAGCCTGAACCAGATATGGGGAACCACCCCTTGCGCATTCCCTTTGGTGCCGAGACGTTGAAATTCCACGCCTGCCACGCATTGCGAGCCTGAAGCGGATAGGGGACCCCCCTGATCACCTCGTCTGGTGTCAAGGAAATGCCGCGTCCTGCGAATCCTACGCGTACGTGTTCTTCGGTGCGCGTGTCATGTGACTGACTGGGTCTGCGTGTGTGCGTGTGTGTGTTTCTTGTGTGTATGTGTGTGCGGCTGTATGGGGGCGTGTCCGGGTGTTTGTGTGTATGTACGCTGTGTGCGCGTGTGTGTGTTTTGCATGTGTGCGTGTTGGGTGATGTGTGTACAAGCGAAGTAGGAGAAGGAGGAGGATGAGGAGGGGCGATGGGAAGGAACGTGGGTGCGACGCGGGTCGGGAGACAACACTAATCCCACTTAGCACGTGGGGAAGAAGGTGGGGGTGCCGACCAGGTCGACGGTTCCCAAGAACGTGGGTTGTCTACCAGGTGGAAGGCGTGGTAAGTGGCGGGGTTGGTTCCGAGGGAGAAACTGCAGGGTGGTAGGGGCCCTAAAAACATCTTTTCCCAAGAGGATGGTGGTGTCGACGAGGTCGACGACCAGGTGGGTAGCGAGGTGGCCGGCGTAGTCGGGGGGGGACTGGGGCAGGACCCGACTTTGAAATGGAGCCTAAAGATGACAATGGGCATTGCCAAGAACGGGCAACGACAACCAGATTCTGATAGAGACGTGACAAGAGGTACGGGCAACAGCAAGAATAGGCAACGATTTGTTAAGAGAGGGTGAAGAACTACAGGGCAATCATCACACTCTGGGACTGATGGAACTAGAAAAGGGTTGAAGCAGACAAAACTACATAAAAACAACTTTTTGTCGCTACGCGCGGATTTCTTGGATCTGCGCTGGGCTCCCCCAGCGGCGCCTCCAGCGCCGCCCCTGGAGCGCTCCGCGCGCCGGGGAGCGGGGTCCAGCGCAGGTCCGAGAAATCCGCGCTTAGCGCCAAAAGTTTATGTTTATGCCGCTTTTTATTCTTCAAAAGAAGGAAGAAGGTAAGTCCCTCACGCCTCTGAAGTCGGAGGATGTCGGGCGCGGAGTACGCAACCTACGGCGCCGCCAACAACAGGCCCGGTTATGTCACGCCGCCGAGTGCGCAGCCCATGGCGCAATTAATCAACCCATGGCTAAAGTCATGACGCAACCTACGGCGCAACCAAGGGCGCAGCCCATCGATGGCACAACCCCGGTCGGCGCAGTTCATTTCTACCGTGCCGCGCCCGATTTGCGCTCGCCGCCTGGGCTGGACGACGGCATCGACACCCACAACGACGACGACGACGACGACGACGACGACGACGACGACGACGACGACGACAACGGCCACCGCGATCGCGAGCACGACGACGACGGCCACCGCGACCACGACCACGACAGCGGCGGCGACGACCCACGACCACGACCACGATCACCACGGCGGCGACGGCGGCGACGACGGCGACGACCGCGACCACGAGGGCGAGCGCGCGACCGGAGGACGTGAGCCGCGCCTTCCCGGAGCCCCGCCGGGCACGCTGGGCACGCGCGTGGCCTCCGCGGGCACCGTCGGGAGGTGGAGCGTCGCCGTCGCGGGTGCTGTCGGGAGGAGGGGGGGGGAGGGGAGGGAGGACGAGGGGGGAGGGGAGGGGAGGGGGAGGGTAACTAGGGGGGAGAGATTTTGATTGCGCATCTGATTCGCCTGGCGACGGTCAGAGAGGGACGGCGCTGCAACTAGCAGAATATTTAGTCAGACTAAAAGACTGCGCGGGCACCAAGTAGGCAAGTACAGTACAGTACGATGGGACCCCCGCGACAGAGCGGACGGAACGCGTCGAACCGAAGCGAGGAGTCCAGGCCCTCCCAATCCTCAACATCATCCTGACTGCCCCCCCATAATAGGCAACTGGACGGCAAACGCTAAAGGCGGCGACAAATAATGACGTACTGTGCCTCGCCCAGGGCACTAAGGAGGAGGGGAGCGAGGAAGGGTGGGCAACATGATGATGTGAGGGAGCAGAGGAGGAAAGGCTGGGACACAGACCACGTCTCCTACAGAAACGCACTCCCTGCAAGCTCCTCCGAAAGTCCTCCACTCCTCAAATCCACTCCTCCCGATTTCCCACAGAGAGACTGTCCGGCCTCGGCGCGAGCCCTCGAATATGGCTCTGGCAGACAACTGGCAGGAGCTCATAGAAGGTATGACGGCCGTGGCGCGGCTACTCGGGTACTCGGGGGGGGAGGGAATGGAGGGAAGGGGAATGCGGAGGGATAAAATATGAACCGAGAGGAGAGAGTGAGACTGGGACGCAGATCCAAACTTCCAGCTCGGCAGGAGAGCAGTACGGGGGAGGGAGAGCCGCGAGAAGTCTGCCTGACCACTCCGGCCCGTCTGCTCACCTAGAAGGCGGTGCTGCACAAGGAACGTACAACAACAGTTCGTCTTTCCTGAGAGGGGAAAGAAAATCTTCGCGCCTCGCCTTCCGGAGCGAACGACAGGACGGCGGCGAAAAAACGCACGATTATCGTCACGCTAGTCCGAGGAAGGGCGCGGGAGGGCCGACATGGCACAATAACAGAAGCACTGCAACGGCCAACGACCCTCGGTCCTCCATCCGGCTCCCCATCCTCACCACATCCTCCTTCACGGTCCAGTGCGGCGGCCCTGGAGCGGCGGCATGCTAGAGCCTGGTGCTCGGGCTCGGCTACTGCTAGCGTCATAAGCTATTCCGTTCCCCCTCTATCACAAGGGACGTACAGCAACAATTCGTCTTCCTGAGAGGGGAAGGAGGGAAGGCGCGGAGGGGCAGAATGGGCACGACAAAAAGCTCGGCGATGTCAAGCTACCCTCCAACCTCCGGCCTCCTCTCCTCCGACTACAACACTCCCACCTCTATGTTACTTCATATGGATGCCGATGGCCGCATATGCGGCAATCATGGCGGCTCTGGCAGCTTCGATGCCGCCTTGACCAGCGATAGCGTCACCGATCCTCCGGTTCCTCTGGCCATCGCGTGCCGCACTGGAACCAACGGGCTGTCCCAGGGTGTCCGGCACGGCCACGCGCTCAGCCTCAGGATGCCGCTCCGAGGCAGCAGCGGCGACCACCTCGTCGAGCGCCTCGTCAACGCGCGGGCGGTCCCCTCCGGCACCGCGCGGGTGCGCGAAGTCCTCGGAGTCGACCGTGCTATACTCATCACTCTCCGAACCGTCGTCGTCATCAGGCAGGCCGTCCTCGGCCACAGTAGCCGCAGTAGCCTCTGCGGCGCGCTCGGCTGCCTCCCGCTCGGTCGCTGCCTGGGGCGCGGCCTTGGCCTGGCTGTCGGCCTCGGCCTGGCGCACAGCGGGCGGGCGACGCCTGGCCCACGCAGCACGGCGTGTTGTCGCCTTGCAATGGGCCTCGAAAGTCACGACTGCGACTGTGGCCTGCCTCTGCCCGGCCAGCGGAGGCTCGTGACCACTGGCTTCGGCAGCACCAGCGCCGCAAGCGGCCTCCGCGAACCTCTCCCGCTTTGGCGCCTCCAGGGGCGCAGCACCAGCAGGCAGACGCGTCACAGGGCGGAGGTCGCGATCACGAGAAGCGTGGCCAACACCACCAGGAGCTCCAGCGGCAGCAGCAGCAGCAGCGCCGGAAGCGGCAGCGCCAATCGCCCCGCGACGTGGCGCCTCCGGGGGAACCGCACCAGCACATAGCTGTGGCGCAGGGCGTAGCGGACGATCACGAGGATCTTGAACATCACCAAGAGGTACACGATCTGGAGCCGCGGCCACGGCCGCGGCAGCAGCAGCTCCGGAAGCAGCAACCGTACTCGCCACCTTCCGTGGCGCCTCCGGGGGCGCATCTCCAGCAGGCGGCCGTTGCGAAGAGCGTAGCACCAGCACCCGACGATCCTGAACATCACCAGGAGCTCCACGTTCCGGAGCCACGGCCGCGGCAGCAACGTCGCCGGAAGCGGCTGCCTCAAACGCCTCCCGCGTCGGCGAAGAAGGCGAAGAAGGCGAGGAGGCAGCCGCAGGCGCCTCCGGGGTGCCGCCTCCAGGTGCAGCCACGGCGCCATCAGCCGTGTCATCGGCTGGCGCCAGGAGTCGGATGTCCGCACGAACATCGGCTGCTGGTGGCGGCGGCAGGCTGCCAACCAGGAAGGTCGGCGGGGCGTGCGCCGGGGGCGGCAGCGCCAGGGGCGGCAGCGCTCCTGGCAGCCAGCACCGCGCGGCCTCGGCCACCTTGGGGCCCGCAGCGGGCGCCGAGCGCGCCAGCGGGGCCTGCGCGCGCCGTCCAGGTACGTGAGCATCATGGGGCTGGGGCGCGGCGCCCGCCTTGCATCGCGTGGCATCCGGCTCCTCCACGTACGCCAAGAGCTCCTGCAGCAGGATGTCCGCAGGCGACACGTCGAGCCCGGGCGGGGTGCCACACCCCATCAGGTCGCGCACGGCCAGCGCCTGCACTTGCGCGTGCCGGACGGCCACCCTGCGCGCCCTGAGGCGGCGTTTGCCAGCAGCGGAGGCCACACCAGGTGGGCGGCACAACATGGGGCAGGACATCAGCAGGCAGCCATGGCGGGGCACGGCTGGCCCGACGCGCCGTGATCGGCGGGGCTGGCACGTCTAGGCTCAAGCCGTGGAGTCGTCGCCTGCCGAAGGGGGCAAGATGGCTGCGACTACGGCTCGGGCCTGGGGGGAGAGAGAGGAGGGAGGGGAGAGAAGGGGGGGAGGGGAGGGGGGGAGGGTACAACCCTGAACGCAAGTTTGCCCCGCCCCCGTCGCCCCCGAATTTCAATGTTCATCGACAGGCGCATCGCGGCCGGCGGGGTCCGAAGAACATCTCGAAGTCGCCGGCGTCGGCGTGAACATTGAAATTGGGGGTCGGGGGGCGCCGCCAGGTCGCGGCTAAAACTTGCTTCAATTTCGACGAGGGAGGGGGGAGAGAAGAGGGAGGGGAGAGAGGGGGGAGGAGGCAATCTGGGCGGGCGCGCGTCACATCTGACGTCCTCCCCCGCCCTGCCATCCCTTACCATGGCGTAGATCTCCTCTCCAGTCGCTCAGTCGGATGTCGAGCAGGGCAACGATCGCAAGAGGGTACGCGATGGATGGAAAAGCATGGCGTGGAAGAGCATGGCAGAGCGCAGCATGTCATAGCATGGCGTGGCATTGCGTAGTGAGGCATTGCATCACAAAGCAGAGCAACGCAAAACATGTCATCGCACAGCGGTGCACGAGACAGCATCTCATTGCATACCATGGCATCCACAGCTGCAGCGGGAGCACGATTTGGAAGGACCGAAGCACTGGAACGAGACAAGCGCTGCAGCGACAGCGTTACTTGGAAATGCCAAACACGCCAGTGCTGCTGCGGGAACACGATTTGGAACGACCGGAGGCACGGGAACGAGGCCAGCGCTGCAGCGGGAGCGCGAGTTTGAGTGACCGACGCGCGGAAATGATGGCGGCGTTGCAGCGGGAGTACCATATCGGAAGGACCAGAAACGAACGGATTGAAAAAACACAGGAACAAAAGCAAATATTGAAATCTTGTGCTTTAAAAGCAATGCGCGGAGAGGACGGGAGGGACACTCTCTGGACATAGTCCGGGGAGAGAGGAGAGTTGTGTTCACGTGTTGTAATTGTGGAGGGGGGGGGGAAGGAGGGAGGTGAGCGAAGGGGGAGAGGGGAGAGAGGGGGGAAGGGAGGGGGGAGGGGAGGAGACATTTCGGATTGCGACGCTGACGAAGCTGAGAGCCTGTCGGCAATGGCCAGCACGCAGTTCGCAGAAAATGAGTGAGACAAGAAACTTCTGCTCCGAGGCCTCTCGTCACCGAGCGCGTTCCACTACTCGCAAAGCACCTACTCGCCAACGTCCGCACAAAAAAAACACATGTTTGCCTCGATGTGGTGGATCGTGGTCCCCCGCGGCGAATCCAGGCCCTTTGCGAGCAGTTACTTCTGCGAGTAGTGGAACGCGCTTGTCTATATCTCGGGCCGCCTTGGTGCCATGTGGTGGGCCGGTTAGGTCCCGGGTTTGGGCGGCCCCGGGATTGAGACCGGGGGCTGATAAGGGGAGACGGAGAACTGCTCCGGGAGGAGGACCCGGGGCGGCCCTGGGATCGAGACCCAGGGCGGGGAGGGCGGGAGGGAAAGGAGGAAGAGAAAAGGGACAGAGAAAGGAGGGCCCTTGGCGCGGGCCCGGGCTCCTGGCGCGGGCTCGGGTCTTGGGCCGCCTGATAAGGCGTCAGGGGCCCCCCTACCGCGTGCAGGGGCGCGCACCCGTGCTCCGTGCGCACGCGCACGAGGCCTTCAGAAGCTCGAGCGTGCTCCGCCGTCCGCGGCTTCCCCCCGCCTCTCCTCCGCGCCTCTCCCCTTGAGGGTTGAGTCGGGCCTCTCCCTCTGCAGGAGGAATTTTCAAAAATAGCCCAAACAAGGACGATGTGTTGAATTTGTGGGGGGTAGGGGTAGGGTTCGCATGCGGATCCCTAGCAGTTCTGCCCACGCCGGATCGAGCGCCGTTCCGAGAAGCCCGCGCGGACCTGGCCAGAGCGGCTGCTCTGTCATGCTCCCTATCCTCAGCCCGTCCTCGTGCGTCAGGTGGTTGGGCAAGGGCCTCCCCGTCGGCTCAGAGCACTGGTCCGCAGATCCACGGTCCCGTGGATCCCACGTCTTGCGTCACCACCCACCAAACCACCCCAGCCCAACCCGAAGGCCCAGGGGTCGGGGAACATTGACAAAAAACACATGGAACCCGTACCCCCCCCAACCCGAAACTCGGGTCAAATTCGGGTCTTCGGGTTGGGTTGGGGTGGTCTGGCAGGTAGTCATTATGGGCCCACGCAGGTAAATCTTATCCTATTCTTTGCGCAGTGCTGGCGTTTGGGGCTTTCCGTTGCTCTTCCAAGGGGCTGGCCCTGAGTGTCGGTCTGGCGGCGACGTGCTCGCCGTCGCCGCCCCGTCGCCGCCTCGTCACCGCCCGCCGTCTGGGCCTGAATGTCGGTCTGGCGGCTCCGGCCTCGCCGTCGCCGCTCCGTCGCCGCCCCGTCGCCGCCTAGGTTCTCCTTTCTTCTCGATGTTAAGATCCACCCCCCCTGGATTGAACCGCCCCCCTTCGCGTACTGCAATCTACGCGCGATTATGCACCATCGTCCATCCGAATCCTGAGCAATTACCATCTCATCCGGGCCAGTATCGACACCCCCCTCATCCCCTGCAAAGAAAAATGTGCGCGCGCAATCGTTTATCAAGCATTGTTCGTGTTCAAGAACCCCTTGCAACAGATGGGACTAAGTGCACACGCGTCCGACGTCGCATGCGCATGCAGAAAACCGTTAAACAAACCTTAGATGCCATAAAGATGTCGTGAGGAATTCGAATCGAGTGCCACGAGAACATATAAACACACATGGGTTCGCAACAAAGATTTTGCGTTTAAAAAGGCTGAATCCCGCGCCCTGGCAGATTCTTAAGAGAACCATCTGTCTTTCAACATTTTCAGAAAAGGGCTACCAAAGGGGCCTCTCGCGCGCATTTCGAAATCGTTCGAACGCCCTTGCGCGCGTGCTGTCGCAAGAATCCGTTGTAACAAACTGGACGGAGTGCACACGCGCGAAGGGTCGCGCGCATGCCGAGACAAAAACGAGTGTCCCGAAAACACATAAACACCTTTGGTTTTGCAACGTCCGCTTTCAACAAAAAAGCCTGCTCGCGCTCTTGCGAATTCTCAAGGGAACCGTCGGTCTTCAATATCGGCATCACATTCTCCCAAACGGGCTTTCGCGCCGCATGTCGAACTCATCCGAACGCCTTTGCGCGCGTGCTGGGGGGGGGGTCGATCCGTGTCAAATAACATCACGCGGGCCACTCGCGCGCGTCGGCCACGCGCGCATGTCGAACTCCTTCC